GCATGCCTGTGCCTGCCTGGTAGTGTGATGTAGTAAAAGGGTGGCAACAATTACAAACCATTAAAATTATTAAAAATTGGGACAAATAACGGCGTTACAATCATTTCCATTTCGTCTGCTCTCAGCCAAAAGCAACTGCTCATAAATGTGCGAACACTTTCAATTTTGCTGTATCAGAAAATTGATACAGCAGACTAAGCCATAACACAGGCACATATTCCCTTTTAATTAATATGAGGACTTATTTGAACATTCTGATTCCCATTGGAAGATGAAACAATGATACTAGAAGAACAATTTAATCCTGTGGGCCCCCGATATTAATCATCCTAAGGACAAGTTCCAGATTAATGGCAGCTAAACTCACTGAGTGATAAATGTTTTTAAGGTGCAGATTTATTTTTACATTCATTTTTAGGATGCTTAAAGTTTGATGCTGCTACATTTTTAATGTGTCACATTGAGAAGAGTTTCTAATCTTTAGTCTCAATTGAACTAATAACAGTGGACTAAATAATTTGCTGATAAATGGCCCTCTGCTATCACTATGTCACATAATCATGTAGATCGGCCAATAGTTGTTGATAAAAGTAAAGTTACTCTGATAACTAATCTTCACAGCTGGCATTTTCTTTTTGTTTTTCTTTAAATTGGATTAATTTACAATTTCCTGTTTCCCAATCATGGATTTCTTTGTGTTTCTTTGTGTTTTCAGTTTTCACATCTATAATGGGACACATGCCAATTTCAAAACAGGGATCAAACTACTAGAATCCCTCAGTAACAAAGCTGATGTGGTTTATACTTAAACTTCTTTACAGCTTTTTTTTAATCTCTAACAGTCAATGAGTAAGATCTCAAGGGAAGGCCATTGGTTACACAGCCTTGCTGATACAAGGAGAGGAGATAAATACAGCTCCCGTGTTCAGAAATGAAAAATAGCCATCACTGTGTAAAGATCTTTATGGTGTTATAACATGTCGTACTTACACAAGCAATAAATGCTACCGTGCCTATACCCCTGAACTACAGCTTAAGGTTAATGATGGTATTTCAGCAGAGATGTAAGGCTTTTTGTGGTCAAGACAACTTTAGAAAACCTTGACTCAGATGTCTACATTGACAGTGGTAAAATACACTTTTTTGACAGACTATCATAACAGGACTATCGGAATAAAAGGTTTAAATATTCATGTAATTTAAATGTCTCTTTTTTAAATCTTAGAGGTTATTAAACTAAACCAAAAACCAATACAATCCCAAATAAAATTACCACCCCAAAAAATAAAATATAATCACTGAAATACTTTAACTAGTTTTCAAACTAGGGTTCAACTTTGCCAATAAAGGAGCAATAATGGTATGTTAATTTGAAGTGTCACATTTGGTAGATTATGCATTAACAAGATGACTTACCACAAGCAGAACACTATCTGCCTTTATCTCCCAGTGCAGAAGAATTGATAAGCATTTCCAGAATTACCTGTTTGCTAAACTTCTACTCAGAAGACCGATGTCCCTTCTGGTGCTCATATGTCTTTTACTGCCTCACCTGTTTATCGACCAATTTTAGCCCCAGTGTTAGTATTTTTACTCAGCAATAAATCAACAGCAAACCTTTCAGTCGCCTGCCTTCTGTGACTACTTTACAGAGGGATGGCTATTAAAATGAGGGGTTTTGTAACAGAGTAAAAGTGGTGACAAACAGAGGAAAGCAGACCCAATGAAATAGTTGATGATGCTCCAGATCTGCTGGGTTACCGTTGCTGTGGAGCACAGTCTGGAAAACACTAATTTAGAGTGTTTGTGAAAGCTTCCATGCATTACTATTCACTCTATGCTATTCATACTAACAAAAACCAAAAAAATACTATGCAACTCTGTATCAGTCAGTTCAGTTATGAGAATTTATTTCACCAAATATTGACATGTAAATTTAAAAAAAAAAAGGGGGGGGGGGGGGGATGTTCAGCCGGCTTTCCCCTGAAACTTTCACTTTAATAAAGAGTGAACCAATAGAAACGCTCAATTTGGAAGCCAGGAAGAAAGTTGAAAGCATGCAGAATTACTTTAGTACAGCAGATTTCCCTTACTACAGTGGTTAGCCAGGTTCCGTTTCCTGAAAAAAAGTTAGAACTGAACACTTCACTTGACTCCATTTCTGATTAATTTTTACTATATGAGCTTTTTCTTCTCTAAACTTTAATTGAGTCTCTTACTAGTAGACTAGAGACCTGGCATGTTTCTTCATGTAAAACTAGACCTCAAAATGGGCCTTCCAACATGACAGCTAGCTTTTCCAGAAATAACACCAAACTTGTTAGGTTACCTCCAATCCAAGCTCAGTCACGTGGACGGTGGCTCTGTAAGCAGCGTGCACGCTCAACCCTGATCCTCATTGTTTCCATATCAAGTAACTCTTCGCTATCAACGAAGGCCCACACTGTCGAATGTGTATTTAGCTAACTAGCTAGCGGACAGACCGCAAAGTCTAAGCACACCACCTGTGCAAAACAGTTAGCATACTAGAAGCTAAACGAGCAGCACGAAAACGTTACACCGCTCCAGAAACACTTATAAACGCCAAGTGATCGCATGCAAAATATTCCACTAGACCGTTATTATGCTTTCTGACTACCCCGAGAAAACCAATAACTTACTGGTAGTTATAAAAATAAGATATGGCAGCAGGCCTGTGGCAGCACTGAGCAGGTGGGCCATGCATACACGCAGCAGTTTTCGGTCACTTTTCTCTAAGAAATATTACATGACATTTGTGGAATATAACTTCGAAGTATCACGAACATTTGTTTGAGCAAGTTTTCGTGTCGTTTAATTAAAAGCGGTTGTCATCGCCCCAAGAACTGCGACGGAAAGTACTGCTGGTTCATTTGAATGGAAGGACCTGGGGCCTGTTAGCTCACGTTACCATGCTGGTGGTATTCCAATGAGGCTTAGGGGGGGCATTAGCAAGCACTTTTTAGTACTTCAGCAGTTCAATGACACGACAGGCCAAATGTTTAAAATAACAACACACAACTGACCAAAATTTAATTATTGTGTGGCGTTAGCTTTGGTCAAAATGGTGCAGAATCAAAGAGCGATCTGAAGTCCAAAAATAAGAGACTGCACGAGTTGTTTTGGAGGCTAATGATAGCCAGCTAGCTAGCTAGCTACCTGGTTGCTGTAAGAAGCCATGCTCCCGGTGAGGTTTTCTGTCCTCCGCTGACCAGATGAAGAATCCCCCGGAAAGGTGTTGTAGGTTTCTACTGACAGCTACAAAAGGTGGTCTATTTCGACGTCATTGTCATTTGCCCAACGGTGTCCTGCCAGTCGAACGTTTTGATCTATGTAATGCATCAGCACTTCATGCTGTTCGCCTTGCCGTCACCGCCATTTCTGTCTAGCATCTTCCTTGCTTGCTAGCCAGAGCAGCGCGCGGTCGGTTGTAACGGCAGCGTGAGCTCAGGGAGTAACGCCAAATACTTCCGGTGAGTGCTGATTCTAAGATTTCATAATAAAAAGGCTTCATTAATACTTTTAGTACTAATACTACTACTTGCAATGATAACAATATTAATATTAACAATACTCGAAAATTTAATAGAAATAAATTACGGGGTGCAGATGATTGCCTTTATATTTACAAAGTTTCAGCATTTAGACAGTAAATGAACCGAAAGAACAAAACCCAGTGTGGATAGTAACCAAAATTAAACTCAACTGAAAAATAAATAAACACTAAATAAAATATAATAGAATATAAAATTGCACTCCAAGATCCTGCAAAGGTTTCAAGGTATTGTGAAAAAAATCACATTCAGTGTAGCTTCAGTTTGTAAGTGCTATTATGATTGCTGATGGTTTACGCTCACTGATAGGTTATCTTGCTTGTGTTCATCACAGCTATATCATATCATATCATATCATATCAGATCTTAATGACCGCATAGTACCATATTATCTCAACATCACACCACCCTCTAAGACTACAGGATTATTTGTGGTTTCTAGAGGTTCTAGAGAGTCTCTGCAGTTTTAATATTAGACTCAAAACATTTGTTTCAACAAAGCTTATAGATGATAAGGAAAAGGCCTGGATAAGATGACTCTGATCCATCACTTATTCATGCTGCAATATGCTCAGACTGCTGTAAAACTTCAAGTAATACACTGTGGTGTACTGAGGACTTCTTCTCCAATCACGTCTTCCCTCCTCTAGTCTGTGTTTTTTCTTGTCTCTCTATGCTCTCTTTTCTTTTATCTTTCTTCCTTTATCTTTTCAATCCCCCACTACTGGTCATGGTGGATGGTTGAACCTCACTGAGCCTGGTTCTGCTGGAGGTTTCTTTCAGTTAAAAAGGAGTTTTTCTTTCCTACCATCGCAAAGTGCTTGTTCATATTAGGTTGTTCAATTGTTGGGGTTTATTTCTAGAATACTGTAAGGTCTTTACGTTACAGTACAAACTGCTTTGAAACAACTATCATATTGAATTGGTGCTAAATAAATAAACCTAAATTCCATTTAACAGCACTAAATATTCAGCTTTTAATTACATGAAAATTCTCCAATTGTCTCGTGGTCATGTCTTAAAGAAATGCACGGAAGAATATGTTACCTATAATTACAGATTGCAGAGCAAGTTAAGAACTCGAGGCATTTATTCTGAAATCTGTGAATGCCTCGGCGGAAATGCTAAAAATAATGTTATGAATTTACAAGTATGAGCGCATGCGCGGTGTGTGTTCTCACTTCAGGTTGGACGTGAATCGCAATTTTTTTTTTCTTTTTTCTTTTTGAAAGTTAAATAAAAATAAACGTTTTATTTTAAGCACATTTTTGTTGTTTTTTATGAACCTTGGTGATTTAAGCTGCATAAATACAGTCAAAACAGTGAAATAAACAGCAGCAACTACATGCAATCAACCCTATGTGCCTTTTAAATGAGTAATGCCTTCGACAGTGCAGGACAATACCCAAACTAGTGGGCGTGGCACAATACAGGTGAGGGAAGAAGGTAATCTCAAAGAGGAAGCCGTGACAGGTGAATGATCTTCTGGCCATAACAGAAAACAAGACCGTACAAAGAACAGTATCTGAAGGTATGAAACACAGGCATTATATATTTGTATCATTCACAAACGCGCAACTAATTAAGCTAACGTGAATTTGCAACAGGGACGAACTTTACAACAGGGAGGACGTTGCGAATGAGCAACTTGGAAGAACGCTCTGTTTTCTCATGTTGAGATAAGATATCATGAAACGGATAAAAATCATAATTCACAGACGTTTACAGTGCCTCAAGTTATCACCAGCTTTTGATAAGCTGCTTCATTAATGAAGAAACTTCTACCTCATCGAGACATTTTTTTAAGTTATCCCCCATGCTGCTTTATTGCTTGCAGTGCGTCGTGGATAAAAGCCAACTACCCACTTTGTTTATGACAGGCTGTAAAATAAACAAGATACAGGTCTATAATTGTATTATGTTGGCACAGGAAGATGCCAGAGAGGGGAAGACGCGATCAGAGTGGTGACGGCAAAAGCGGGGATAAGCGCTACACGCACAATCGAGACTACTCTGGGTATGACGCCGAGGAGAGGGGCACTGCAGGTGACAGGAGGGCCGGAGAAAACAGACAGAGGGATATGACAACTGCCTCTCACAGACATGAAGGAACCTCAAGACGGTAAATGTAGTTCTAAACATGGTCTGCATTCACTAAACCTTCATAAAGCCCGAAGATCATATTTAACTCTGCAATGTTTTGACCTAAAATTACATAAACCTGTAGCAAAATAAATTATTTAAAAACATTTTACTTTCCTTACAGGCCCAGAGAGACTTCAGGGGATCTCTCTGAGATGGAGTATTACGAACCACAACCGAAGCCAGCGCTTTACAATTTCAGATACATATTAACCAGCAGAGGCAAGTATATTTGGTTTTAATTTCTTCTGTGAAACATTACATGCAAGCTACAATTTTTTTGAAATATCCCTAAAATGCATTCAGGGATGTAAATTATATGATAACGAGAGGATAGTGCAAAAATTTGAAAATATAGCACAATAGTAAATTATTTTTAAATGCTGCATTGGAACAGTTAGTATTTATTTATTTATTCTGTTGTTTAATGTAATGTGAAAATAAGTTTCTTTAAACAATTATTTTAAGGCAAAAGTCAAAATCCCCAATTTGAAAATATCTTTTTCTTAAAAAGCCATAAATCTTTGTCTCCAGGTATCTGCCAGCTTGCAGAGGTGTTTGTGAACCTGCTTATCATAATCTGTGCCGGGGTGCCTTACAGCAACAATGGGGGTTACCGTGACCTGGCCAGCCTCGGTGGATTATACGCTTATTACTACGGTGGTGCCAGTGCCTTCACTGGAGCCGATGCAAAGAGAGTGCAGGAGCTAGACCGGCTCTTCCATGAGCTTAAGCGGCCTCCGTACATCTTCACCATGGCGGCTGGTGGAATTTTAATGATCTACGCTTTTGCCATGCTGGGCCTGGGGATTTTCAGAGTCCCTTTCCGGTGTCCTCCTGTGCTGCTGGTTGAGGCTGTGCTGAGTTTCCTGATCGGTCTGGGGTACATCCCAGGAATTGCCATCTATTTTATCAAGCTGAAGGAAACCTATGACAACCCCATCTGTAAGGAGAGGGAGCAGATGTACAAGAGCAAAGGGCACCAAGGGTTTGATTGCAAGTATAATGGTGCAGACATTGCAGAGGGACTGTTTGGGGTCTTGGGGGTGGTTGTTTTCATCTTTGGTGCAGTGTTAGCTATCAGAGCTTTCAGGTCAGTGCGGGAGCTGAAAAAGCAAAGAACAAACCAGGATGATAATTTTTAAGCTGCCTTTCCTTTTTTTATTCACAAGTGAACAAAAGTAGGAGTGAGAAAAATAAATCACTTTGACAGGACTTTTTTTTCTTGTCACTCTCATTAGGTGTTACTTGTATATAAGCTGTTTTATACATTTTTATGCCTTGATAGTGTTTTATACACACCTAATCTTTTTTATTCTTTATACCTGGAGGAGGGGGAGGAGGTGGAGGTGGTCAACAAGTACAAGTACCTCGGGCTGTGGGTGGACAATAAACTGGACTGGTCATGCAACACAGAGCACCTGTATAAAAAAGCCCAAAGCCGACTGTACTTCCTCAGGAGGCTGAGGTCTTTTAACATCTGCAGGAAGCTCCTGAGGATGTTTTACCAGTCGGTGGTTGCTGGAGTACTTTTCTATGCTGTGGTGTGCTGGGGGAGCAGCACAGCAAAGAAGGACTCATCCAGGCTGGAGAAACTGATCAGGAGGGCTAGCTCTGTGGTCGGCATGAAGCTGGACACTCTGGTGACAGTGGCAGAGAAAAGGACATTAAAGAAACTGATGGACATTATGAACAATGCTGGGCATCCTCTGCACACGGCCATAAACAATCAGAAGAGTCTGTTCAGTGACAGGTTGCTTCTCCCCAAGACAAGAACTAACAGACTTAAAAACTCCTTTGTCCCACACGCCATCAAACTGTTTAACTCCTCTCTGGAGGGGAGAGGGAGGGGAAACAGGAGGACAAAGGAGGGGGGAACAACTAAGCTGTAGTGCCTCTTCACCTCACTGTACAATACCTTGTGCAATACTTTTTGTAAATAGTCAACAGTGCAATAGACTCAATACTTGAAATGTGCAATTCACTTATATTTTATTTTTTATTCCTATTTATTCTATTTATCCCCTTTGTATATTTTATTTATATTTGTCTCTGTATTTATATATATGTGTGTGTGTGTGTGTGTGTGTGTGTGTGTGTGTGTGTGTGTGTGTGTGTGTGTGTGTGTGTGTATATATATATATATATATATATATATATATATATATATATAATATATATATAATATATAATAATATATATATATATATATATATATAACAATTCTGTAACTGTAACTTCGGTCGTTGCTGTGCTTTTTGGAAGTCGAATTTCCCAGAGGAACCCACCCGAGGGATTAATAAAGTTCTATCTTATCTTATCTTATCTTATCTGTTTACCACATCTTTCATATTTTCTATGATGTTGTAGTTATAATAAACTACCAAAATAGTATAATCTTACATGGTCATCTGTCATTGCATTTATCTGTGAAAGAGATGGCTGAAACAGGCTGAACTGACTTCCTGAAAACAAATGTCTTTGACATTTTAAAAGGAAATGGAGTTGAGTGTCACATGGTTTCTTGTTATAGTTTTAATAATCCACATTTCACTGTTTTACTCTTTGGTTCAGATGTGGATACTGTATTGTTCTTTCTTTGTGATTGTTTATGTTTAAGTTGTTTGTTGCTGGTTTTTAGTTTGTTTTTTGTCTTTTTGGAAGCTGACACAGTCTCTATGGAGATGGGTTTTTGGGGGGGTAGCAGGAGGAGAGAAGCTGCAGAGAGGCGTGTAAGACTGCAATTCTGCTTCCTGGTCCCAACTGTGGATAGTCATATTTTGGGGGGTTTAATAAATTTTTCCATGTTTCTAGAAATGAGAGCTGCTCCATCCAAAGTGGGATGGATGTCGTCTCTCCTAACAAGACCAGGTTTCCTCCAGAAGGTTTGCCAATTATCTATGAAGCCCACATCGTTTCTGGGACACCACTCAGACAGCCAGCAATTTAAGGAGAATATGCGGCTAAACATGTCACTCCTGGTCTGATTGGGGAGGGGACCAGAGAAAACTACAGAGTCCGACATTGTTTTGGTAAAGTTGCACACCGATTCAATATTGATTTTAGTGACCTCCAATTGGCGTAACCGGGTGTCATTACTGCCGATGTGAATTATGATTTTACTGAATTTACGTTTACTCTTAGCCAGCAGTTTTAAATTTCCTCATAAAATGCCCTCATAACACCTCACTTCAGCCCCGTACAGTCACACAACAACGAAGACCCCCCTCCCCTTCCTGCACACATTCCCTCCCTATTTCCTGCAGCACAACCAAACATGTATCTTAAAGAAATAACAACAGCGTGCAGAGATAACCCACTTGTCACTGTAAAATAACATTTAACCATCGTTACTATATATATATATATATATATATATATATATATAAAAACACCCAGCACGCCCCTGCGGGCGGTTTATCCTTCAAGCTCGGGTCCTCTACCAGAGGCCTGGGAGCTTGAGGGTCCTGCGCAGTATCTTAGCTGTTCCCAGGACTGCGCTCTTCTGGACAGAGATCTCCGATGTTATTCCCGGGATCTGCTGGAGCCACTCGCCTAGCTTGGGAGTCACCGCACCTAGTGCTCCGATTACCACGGGGACCACCGTTACCTTCACCCTCCACATCCTCTCGAGCTCTTCTCTGAGCCCTTGGTATTTCTCCAGCTTCTCGTGTTCCTTCTTCCTGATATTGCTGTCATTCGGAACCGCTACGTCGATCACTACGGCCGTCTTCTTCTGTTTGTCTACCACCACTATGTCCGGTTGGTTAGCCACCACCATCTTGTCCGTCTGTATCTGGAAGTCCCACAGGATCTTAGCTCGGTCATTCTCCACCACCCTTGGGGGCATCTCCCATTTTGACCTCGGGACTTCCAGGTTATACTCGGCACAGATGTTCCTGTACACTATGCCGGCCACTTGGTTATGGCGTTCCATGTATGCCTTGCCTGCTAGCATCTTGCACCCTGCTGTTATGTGCTGGATTGTCTCTGGGGCATCTTTACACAGCCTGCACCTGGGGTCTTGCCTGGTGTGATAGACCCCAGCCTCTATGGCTCTTGTACTCAGAGCTTGTTCTTGTGCTGCCATGATTAGTGCCTCTGTGCTGTCTTTCAGTCCAGCTTTGTCCAGCCACTGGTAGGATTTCTGGATATCAGCCACCTCCTCTATCTGCCGGTGGTACATACCATGCAGGGGCCTGTCCTTCCATGATGGTTCCTCGTCTCCCTCCTCTTTCTTGGGTTTCTGCTGCCTGAGGTATTCACTGAGCACTCGGTCAGTTGGGGCCATCTTCCCAATGTATTCTTGGATGTTCGTTGTCTCATCCTGGACTGTGGTGCTGACACTCACCAGTCCCTGGCCCCCTTCCTTCCGCTTAGCGTACAGCCTCAGGGTGCTGGACTTGGGGTGAAACCCTCCATGCATGGTAAGGAGCTTTCTTGTCTTTATGTCTGTGGCTTCTATCTCCTCCTTTGGCCAGCCTATTATCCCAGCAGGGTACCTGATCACGGGCAGGGCATACGTGTTGATGGCCCGGATCTTGTTCTTACCATTCAGCTGACTCCTCAGGACTTGCCTGACCCTCTGCAGGTACTTGGTGGTTGCAGCCTTTCTAGCGGCCTCTTCATGGTTCCCATTTGCCTGCGGGATCCCCAGGTACTTGTAACTGTCCTCTATGTCTGCAATGTTGCCTTCTGGTAGTTCAATCCCCTCAGTTATGACTACCTTCCCTCTCTTTGATACCATCCGACTACACTTCTCCAGTCCGAACGACATTCCAATGTCATTGCTGTATAGCCTGGTAGTGTGGATCAGTGAATCGATGTCTCGTTCACTCTTGGCATACAGCTTGATGTCATCCATGTACAGGAGGTGGCTGACAACTGCTCCGTTCCGTAGTCGGTATCCGTAGCCAGTCTTGTTAATGATCTCACTGAGGGGGTTCAGGCCTATGCAGAACAGCAGTGGGGACAGAGCATCTCCTTGGTAGATCCCGCACTTGATGGTGACTTGTGCTATGGGCTTGGAGTTGGCCTCTAGTGTTGTACGCCACATCCCCATTGAGTTCCTGATGAAGGCTCTTAGGGTCCCATTGATCTTGTACAATTCTAGGCATTCCAGTATCCAGCTGTGGGGCATTGAGTCATAGGCCTTCTTGTAATCAATCCAGGCAGTGCACAGGTTGGTCAGTCTGGTCTTGCAGTCTCGGCTGACTGTTCTGTCTACCAGTAGCTGGTGTTTTGCGCCTCTGGTATTTTTTCCAGAGGCACAGAGGGAGGTTAGCCAACTAACGGAGTTGCCTTGGAAACTGAAATATATATATATATATATATATATATATATATATATATATATATATATGTGTGTGTGTGTGTGTGTGTGTGTGTGTGTGTGTGTGTGTGTGTGTGTGTGTGTGTGTGTACATATAAAATACTTCTTCGTTTCTTGTCTCTGTCTCAACTCTTGATTACATATCACATGTTCAAAGGGAGGGGCTAGAAGGTCTCTTATACTGTGGTGAGATAAAGGGGAAGTTATTTGACAGCAGTGACACACAACCTGATATACAGGCATGTCTGACCAAGAGCTTCTACTGGGTAAGAACATTTAAACTGACTTTTCCAATGTACATTTAAATATGACATGAAAACGATATTTCCATTCTTTACATTTTTAATAGTGATGTGCGGATCGATCCTGAAATATCGATTCCTCCGATACCAATCATTTATGTTCTAGAATCGATTCTCACATTAAAATATCGATATTTTAGTAATTTAGAGTAAATTTGTAGTTTATCATTAACAGGAACACAGTGGAAAGAAACTATAACATTCGGATTGTCTACATTCAAATGAACTACTTCCTCTTCCGCCTTTCATAGTCATGTGCGAAATACGGCTGTATAAATGTCTTGCAGCCCCTTGGCGTGCGCACTCACAATAATTGCTGAGCGTAATTGAAGTCATGTGCGGACGTATTTTACCTCTACACACAGCTGAGACGTGGTTTGCAATACATGTGGCAAAAAAAGTGCTCCAAGAGTGAGGTGTTGTGGCCATACTAGGGAGACATTCAAAAGGGCTGTTGGAGGGGGGGGTAAATACATTTTACAGGGTTTATTTATCGGATAAAATACGTTAAATGTCACCGTTATTATTGGCCGGCCCGGAAACAGCGGGGGTGTCCAAATTCAGAGGCTGCTTCCACCTGAGGACCCGCCGGGTAGTACGTCACGAGCTCCCTCGGTGGAGTGAAACTCTGCTGTCTGCTCCTTGCTATCTAAAATATAACCGGGCACTGACGTAAACTCTCGACCGTCTCACACTTCTGTTTAACCATTTTCTGTTTGACGTTTATTCAGCTGTGTGAAAACCCCGGAGGAACCCTTCCGAAGGATCAATAAAGTCAAATTGAATTTAATCAAATCTAATAACTTTAAACTCAGCCAAACCAATTTACTCACGAACAAATAAAACACCGAAAAAGCCAAACAATAACATTTTTAAGTTATCAAAGTGACTTATACATCATGTTTAACCCGAGTGGTGAAAGACTGCGGGGGTTTGAAGACGATGTGTCGGTCGGCTCAGATATTTGAAGTTTACACAGCTACATTCTCACCTGAAAACATGTTAAAAGTTTTTTTGCGACCCAAAAAGAGAAACAAGAGCAATATTAAAAGTAAGTTGCTGCTGCCATTGTTGGAAACTGGAATTGGCTGGGCCGCGCTATGAATTCTGCAATATGATTTTTCAATTTTGTTGTCCTAGAAAATCGGGCGAAATTCGGGAGAATGGTGGCTCCGGGAGATTTTCGGGAGGGCACTGAAATTCGGTATTCTCTCGGAAAAATCGGGAGGGTTGGCATGTATGGTTGCGGCAACACCACTAACCTTGTCAAACACCTCAGAGTAAATCATATCACAGAATATGAGGAGTGTATGTTGAGGTGAACTGAAGAGGAGGACAGGGACAGGTGCTGCTAGGGCGAGACAGACGTCTCTCACAGAGTCCTTTAGTGCTGCAGGCAGGCAAGGTGTTCAAATAGCACAACTTCATTTTTTTTATTTCTATATGATGAACTCTGCATTATTAAGTGATAAGAACAAGTAATCTTATGTCCTGTAATCATTATGACGCTATAATTTGAGATACAATAAATAAGTTTTTGTACAAAGTATCGGTATCGGATCAGTATTACTTGGTATCGGATCGGAAAGAAAATCAGTGGTATTGCACATCACTAACTTTTAAACAACTTTAAACGACTAAGGGGGAGTCATACCCTGTACATATGGAATATGTAACAGAGTGGAGAGAAAAATAAATGTTATGTTTGAGTAAAATGATTATTTGCATCAATAGTATGGCGAAGGCCTTAAGCCTACATGTTTACTACTGAGGATGTAAGTGTTAAGAGACTCAAAACCTAATAAGGTAATACTCAGCTTGTAACTCAGTGATTCCTGAAATTAGGGACAAAACAGGTTTTAATTTTCTAAAATATATTTGTTGATTTTTGAAAAACATATATACAAGTTTTGGCTGTCTCACCATGTTTTGGTACAATCTCCCAGATGTAACATTTTTTAATACTTTATGTTTTTGCTGGAGAAGTGCAAGGTTTTTGTCAACACCGTCAGACACAAAGAAATGCAACAATATATATTTTAAATTAAGTTGTTTCAGCTAGACCTTAGGAACAGGAAACAGAATGAGGAAGCAGCTTCTGCTGAACTCAGAGTACGGCCACGAAATGCGCCAACCTAACTGTCACTGATGCATAATATGTAATCTGCTTGTGCAAGAATCAGGACAGAACCAAGGTTACAATGCGTTCAATTTGACACGCTGCTACACAGAACAAGAGTTCATATTAGTTTCTGTGTAATAATTATATAAATATTTTTTTGTATTCCCCTCTCTTCTGTATTCCCTGCGAACATTCTATCCTCCAGTTTTCACCATTTAAGCCAACTGGCATCTGCAGCCATTAACATCAAGGCCTAAAATGTAGGAGTGCCAAAACCTGCAGTTTCTCCGTCCAGGAAAATTTGTAGAGATCAGAATTTATCTTTATTTATTCAGTGACTTAATGTCTCAGAGTTTGGGTAAAACAACTGAGGGAAGCTAACAGTTTCTTGTTTTCAGAGTTTTATCTGTGAAAATGTTCATTTTAGAGAAAGAAAACAGTAAAATGTGCCTTTTACACCATCATCAGTATGTCCATAATATTTTTTTCAGCAGAGCCAGAGGAGCCAGAACAACAAGAAGAACCAGAAGAACCAGATAAACCAGAGTACAGGATTGTGCTTCTTGGGAAAACTGCAGTTGGAAAGAACAAAATTGGAAATGCTATTTTGGGAAATGTGAATGCTTTTGAGTCAACAACATCGTCAGAGTTTCAGAAGGAAACACAAGAGTTTGGGGGTCAAATCCTGACTGTAGTTCTTACTCCAGATCTGTTTGAGAACAGACTGACTGATGTGGATATGAGGAGGGAAATCCACAGATGCATCTGCTTTGCTGCTCCTGGTCCACATGTGTTCCTGGTTGTGTTTCAGGCTGGCAGCTTCACAGAAGAAGATCATGAAATTGTGAGAAAAATTCAGCAGATGTTTGGAGAAGAAACAGCAGGTTATAGTATGGTCTTGTTCAACTGTGGAGATGATCTAGAGGCAGCGAGTGTTACCATAGATGAATCTATTCGCAATAATCCAGCTCTAGGTAACTTCCTCCATCAGTGTGGAGGAGGATATCATGTGTTTAACAACAGAAACAGTGATTGCTGTCAGGTCACAGAATTACTGACGAAGATCAACAACATGGTTCAGAGAAACGGAGGAAGCTGCTACACCAGTGAAATATTCAGACAGGCTGACTTCAGGATTGTGCTTGTTGGGAAAACTGGTGTTGGAAAGAGTGCAGCAGGAAACACAATCCTAGGAGAAAGAGTATTTAGATCTACACCATCTTCTGCCACAGCAACAGAAAAGTGTCAGATGAACACAGGTCAGTTTGATGGTCAGATCCTGGCTGTAGTCGATACTCCAGGTCTGTTTGACACCCATAAAACTGAAGAAGAGATAAAGGCAGAGATCAGTAGATCCATCCCTTTTGCTGCTCCTGGTCCTCATGTGTTCCTGATTGTGATCGCGTTAAACAGATTCACAGAAGAAGAACAAAAGACAGTCAGAATAATTCAGAATGTGTTTGGAAAAGAAGCAGCACGTTACACTATGGTCCTATTCACCCATGGAGACAATCTGGAGGCTGATGAAGTCAGCATAGAAGAAGTAATAAGTGGAAATCCAGCTCTCGTTGACATCATCAGGCATTGTGGAGGAGGATATCATGTGTTTAACAACAGAAGCAAAGATTCTGCTCAGGTCAGAGAGCTGCTGGAGAAGATCAACAACATGGTTCAGACAAATGGAGGAAGATACTACACCAATGAAATGTTCAAAGAGGCTGAGAGCGCATTTAAAAAATTGGAACCAGACCTCAGAATTGTTCTTGTGGGAAAAACCAGAGCTGGGAAGAGTGCAGCAGGAAACACCATCTTAGAGGCAGATGTATTTAGATCAACATCATCGTCTTCCGCAGTGACATTAGAGTGTCAGAAGGAAGCAGCTCTATTTGATTTTCAAAAACTGGCTGTGGTTGATACTCCAGGTCTGTTTGACACAGAACTAACTGCACAGAAGGTGAAGAAAGAGGTTGCTAGATTCATCTCGTTTGCTGCTCCTGGTCCTCACGTGTTTCTGGTTGTGGTCCATCCAGAAGTATTTAAAAAGGAAGAACAAGAAATTGTGAAAATCCTTCAGAAGGTGTTTGGAAAGGAAGCAGCGTGTTACACCATGGTGTTGTTCACACATGCAGATGATCTGATGGGCTCCATAAAAGAAATCATTAACAATAATTCAGCTCTGTGTAACTTAGTCCGTCAGTGTGGAGAAAGATATCATGTTTTTAACAACAGAAGTAGAGATCCTGCTCAGGTCAGAGAGCTGCTGGAGAAGATCAACACCATGGTTAAGAAAAATAGAGGAAGATACCACACCTATGAGATGTTTGAGAAGGCAGAGAGCGCTATAAAGAAAGAAATGGAACGACTAATAAAGGAAGGAAATGTGACACCCGAAGAAGCAAGATACAGAGCAGAAAGAAATAATAAGTTTATTCAAGACAGAATGATTGCTATTTTTATAGGAACTGTTCTTGGACTGGGTGTTGGAGTTGGTACTGGACTGGGTATTGAAGCTACTGTTGGAGCTACAATTGGACTTGTAGGGGGTCCAGTAGGAGCTGCAGTGGGAGCTGCAGCGGGAACTGCAGTAGGAGCTGTAGTGTATTTGGCTGCTGCTAAAAAGATAAAGAGGGCTTGTGCTCTGCAGTGATACTCAGTGAGAAATAGTCATTTAGCAGCAGCTCATTAAAGCCAACATGAAGATCAAGGGGGGAGATCACATTGTAGAAATATTATTTCACTGTACATTTAGTGTTTATTTCATGTGTTATTTTTGATCAAATATGTTTGTAAATTTTATAGAATTGGGGAATTAATGAATAACTAATTACTGATTAGGTGATTACTAAGATGTTATCAAACTCTGTATAAAACAAAGCCTGTCAGATTAGCTAACATGTGTTTTTAAAGCTGTTTAAGTCAGTAGACTCACTGAGTGTAATTTTATCATGAATCAAACATTACTGATGAAAAAATGTTTTCTTGTGCTTTTAATCAGAATAAGAATACTTTATTAATTCCTGAGGAAATAATGTAATAAAATGAGGAGATAAAAGGAGGAAAAATCAAAGAATTTAGTGAAAAACATTTACTGAGAGGTTTTGTTGATTAAAGTCTGACATTAAAGAGCAACAGAAATATTTGATTCATATGTTCTGACCTGTTATTAAATATAAAGCTACCAAATGAGATGGTGTAAAAACTGTAACAAACACCTGTTAAGTTCACAGCCTTTCTGTGCTTCAAGGATTTTGACAGTGTAACTAGGGGATGTTGGTAATTAGAAAGAAACAAGGATGGGCAGGACAATAAAAATGAATGAATCCTCTTAGGATTTTTTTTTATAATAGTCTTAAAAATATCATCTGCAACCAGATAGTGCTTTGTGTTCCTGTTTTATTTATCAAGATAATATGACCAAAGAATTTGAAATGACTAAGATATAAGCTCAAACTGCCCAAATGAACCTTACTCAAACTTTCAGTCATTTTAACATTTATTTTTCCATCTATCTAGTATTGGTGATTATAATCGATATTCAGATTTCAGCTGCTCTGGTTTCACATGGAAGCCCTGCTCTTTATTTACCTGCTGAAGAAGCTTTTTTCTTGATTTAAGACTCAGACTTAACTGGAAAAGGTTAACATAGAATTAGTTAAACCTGTTTCTGGAACAAACCCAGGACCTCCACTGATTTTCACTTTCTTCCTGCAGTTTATTACTGAACACAGAAGGCATTTTGTCTTTTTCTGTAGTTTATAATTCTGTTTCAGTTCAATTCAATTCAGTTTTATATTCAGCTATAAAAATAGCATCAAATTATAACACAATTTGCCTCAAGGCACGGTTAGGGTTAGATAAAAAATATGATAAAATATAGATAGATAAACGTAGATAGATAAAATGGGATAAATGGGCCAAACCCTCTCAGACAGGCAGAGACAACACTTTTACAGCATTGGGTAAGGCAGATCTAACACCCCTCTGGTTCAACACTTTCAAATACATCCATTGAGCAGCACCTGGAACAGAATACTTTATGAATGAGCCAATCAGACTGAAATCATGGAGCCAAACATCAGATTCATATTGACTGTGACTAGATTACTTTCTGCTGCTGTTCACTGGTAAATTCTTAATTTAGTTTCACATCTTATTAGGCTGTGCAATTACTTTCAGTAAGAAGATTGGTCTCTTTTTTTGCTGCCAAATGTGATACCAACACTCTGAACCTCACTCTAGCCAATATCAAGGGGCATATCACCCATGATCTCTTCACTTACTGTAAATTTGACTTTACCTGATTAACTGAGACATTCATCACAAATCCATGCATTTTCTCAGTTGAAGAAATCCACTCCTCCAGGTTTGTTTACAGCTAATAGCCACGTGACACCGCCCAGTAGTGATGTGCGGATCGATCCTGAAATATTGATTCCTCCGATACCAGTCATTTATGTTCTAGAATCGATTCTCACATTAAAATATCGATATTTTAGTAATTTAGAGTAAATTTGTAGTTTACCATTAACAGGAACACAGTGGAAAGAAACTATAACATTCGGATTGTCTACATTCAAAGGAACTGCGGCCAAACGGAAGAAGACAGTCTATATTCTTAGCAGCATTCACAGCGTGGTTCAGACTGATAACACTACCAAAAGGAAGCCAAACACTGTCACCCTTTACAACAAAACAAAGTGTGGCGTGGATGTGATGGACCAGATGGTTCGGGAGTACACTGTCCGCAGAGGAACACGGCGCTGGCCAGTTGCCGTGTTTTATAACATGATTGACATGGCAGCACCGAATGCACATGTGCTGTATCAAGCATGCTCTGGGATGAAGGAAAGACGGGTGGACTTCCTGGTGGAGCTTGCAAGAGAGTTGGCTCACTCTCATGTAGCTGCGAAGAAGGCAAGAAAAGAACAGTTGCTTTGGACACAACCCTCCACACCTAGCCCTGGAAAAAGAGCCATGTGTCAGGTCAAACACAAATGCAAGAACAATCATGCCACTGTGCGATGTGTTCACTGCTACAGATACACGTGTGGTAAATGCAGACTACAGATATCATGGCAGTGCCAGGATTGTGAGTGATTGCTGAAAATGTTGAAATGTACTCACTCACTTTTTATTATTATTTGTAAATATGTGTACAAATGGTTGGTTTTTTGTACTGTTTTTATCAATAAATCTCAGCAACAAAGGACATACACCCATGTGTGTTGATTTCTCCCTAAGACGGCAAACTGAAACACTCCAAGTTGGTGACTTTTGGAGATTTATTTCCCTGGATGATTGAGAATGCTTCAAGATGAAACACAAAAGGAAGTGCACAGCTTTTAGCAGCTCCCCCACGCCCTCATCCACACACCCCCACTCCCCTCCCTCCAGAATTCCCAGGTAACAACCTAATATACATATGAATGACTAGCCAATTTAGCTTCCACTTGGCTGAAGCTAAAGCCTAGCTAAAAGCCATTTGGCTGCTCTCCGGGTTTTAAAGGTAGAAAAGCCAAATGGCTGCTCCCCGGGGGTTTAAAGCTTTTCTGATGGCTTTGGGGTTTTTTTTCCCTTTTCTTTTAACTTAATGTGTTGATTTAAAACACACACACATAAGTCTGGGAAAGACACACACTCTGTTCTTCTTATAGCACTCACAAGAGATATACTTATTTTTAATTAAAATTTATTCTCAGAATTTGTCAACCACTTTACCTGAGCTTAGGATAACTCATAACTCTGAGCTTCACCAACAGATGGGATCTACTGTGATTAGGAATTTACAAAGTTAAAACATTACATATAATTCCACAGCAGCGGTCACTGTTTCTTCTCATTTATTTTCTTGATCTGAGTATTGAACAGGACAACACATCAGCGATAACCGCATAACCTGCCCTTTTGGGCATGGATTAAGGGGTGAGATTACATATAAAAAATGCAAGGATGCTAATAATTCTAAGAATGTAAGAAATTTTAAAGTGATTTTGTTTTTTATTGGGTTGAAATAAACACCCTGAACTGGATACGTGGAAGACGATGGATGGATGGGTTGATATAACCGTTAATAATGATAAGTAAAGTTGACACTGGACAAAAACAAAAAAATTCACAGTAAAAAGTTTTATTGCTACTTGGCTTAAAGTTAAAAACAAAACAAAAACCAGCCTGTCTGCTGAAAACTAATGATAGCAGCATTTAAAATAAAATAACCACCTTCCACTCTGTGTTCAAGAACATACAATTCTTTCTGACAAACCACAAAAGTGCCCATTGTTAGTTCTTTTCCTAAATAATTAATCTTCTTAATGATTCTTAAAAAAAACTAAATTTGTAGCAGTAATCTGCATGCTCGAATAAAAACCTAAAAATATCGGATATGCTCCCTTTTGTACAAATAAATCACATTTTGTATGTATTCTATGTTTTTTTCCCTGTAGCCTTATATTTAGAGCATGCTTTCAACAATAAATACAGTTATAGTACCATCAATAGTACCATAATGGGTGACAGATTTCTTTATAAGCCCAATGACTTTAAATTCTGTAGCAAAAAAGGGAAATATTAATTTGCATGAAAAAAAAAGTACAAAAATAAACATCACTTTCTTGGCATTCAGGAAAAGAAATATTCAAGCATTTCTTGAAAACAATATGCATAAAGGAATAGTGAGATTAAACAATGGCTACTTTGGTCACATTTTAAATAAATGGAGCATCTCTGATCGGTTTCATTCACCATATTCACACAGAATTACAGTCGATCCATTGTTTCACACAGACATGCATACACTTACAGCACGTGTGCGCTAAAGCTTTTATCTACACACAAACACAGACATTTTGCAACACAGATGCACAGGGAGCTTGTTATGATGTGCAAAGAGAAATTATACCGAATAGTTAACAAAAGAAGAAGGTTAAAATAAAAACACTGAAATTGCAGCCTAACAAATGCACTTACCCTCTACTTTGTGTACAAATGCATTTAACTGCATGAGTATTGAGCTCGCGAGCCCCTTCCACTAAAGAATTAAAGGGAATATTTTAAGCCAATGCAATGTACCCCTCCATCTTCCCTCTGTGCATACAATCTGCTTATGTACATGCACACTGATTACCGATGGATCATTATCCAAATGTACTTCTATTTTGTGAGTATATTATACCGGACAGAGGGTGAATACATGGTATCAACCAAAAGACAGACTGAACGCATGAATGTACAACAACGGTACAAATGTTATAAAGCAAAAGGAGCCAGTTAGTTTAAAGAGCACTAAATATAGCAATGCAGTACAGTCCCAGCCTGACATGGCAGCTGGGGGCAAACTCATAAAACCACACTGCCAAAGTGCCAAAGGGACATAAAAAAAAAGCAACACAATGCAAATTACAAACACAACCTCCACAAACATTATACACACACACCAGCCAATATTCATTATCAGACATATTGAAACATGAGTCGTATAGTTAAAGGTGATGGGAAATTGACGCTCTGATATACAGGTATATATGTACACTTTGCATATTTTACAAGGGATTTTACCACTGTGGGATATGAAACCTTATAGAAAGTTCAGTTTCTCCTCTCCAGACTTCATTAACATTTCAGATATGTATCAGTAACATTCACAATCATAGGCTAGCTTAGCTCTCCACGTGGCATTTACACCTGCAGTGCCCGTCAGTGTTCCACTGCCAGTAATCCAGATGTGTGGCACTATGTGTGGGCTCCAATTGTGGAGGTCTAGGCACAGACAGAACCACAGAGTCCAATGTGTTTGGCATGTCAGACCCAGCAAGGACTGATCAATAAAGTGACAGGAATAAAATGATTATCTTTATCACAAAACTGGATTTGCTATTTGTAATTTTAGATATTTTTTTAAAAAAGCATTTGGGAGTTAAAATTAGTTCTTGAATTCTGAAAAAGCAGAATACGGACAGTACCGATGCATCTAAATATGATCTCAGACTCCTACATGTGGATAATAACTGTATGTCCTGATTTTCATTAACTTATATTTACACAGAGTAAAAGCAATGCAGGAAGATAGTGTTAGTTTATGTAGTTTTGTGGTGTTAATTTAAAATATTTAAATATAAGTTAAGATAGTAACAAAACTCTAAGTGGTGACAAACAAAAATACTTTGAATGAAAAAAATATCTTTGTGATGTTAATAAGACTTAAAAATATTGTAAATTAACTTTATTGTCAGTGTCGTCATAGACAAAAGATGATGCACTTGGCTGAGGGAAGCCACAATAACCTCAGAACACTATGCTAAAAAAAAATTATATAATAAAATTAAATATACATAACTCTGGATATTACTATTATATTCTATGTACAAGGTGCTTTTGACAGTGTATATTCTTTTCAGGAGATAAAACAAGGAGGAATTCATACCCACACAGCATTTAAGGCATCATCACTGACTTCTCACTCGTTCACATGGAGCCAAAGACCTCATTCACAGACAGAACATCAACGGAAAGAAACAAAAAGCTCCTCGCTTCAAAATACTGAGTAGTGTTACATTAAGGCTAAAAGAGAACACTGAAAGGTCTGAATGTACAACGGCTGTGTAGTTCCTTCCAACATGTAGTGGCAACCAGAAAAAATAAAAATCTATTGTAGTAATCACTGACAAGAGCAATTACCCAACTTTGGCCTTCTCTTAGCCACAGCAGCTCTGCAGAGTTGCTTCCTCTTTTGGCACAATGCGGGGAGGTTCAGGACTGGACAATGTGAGGTTTCCAAGGCTGCAGAACATATAACTGACAGTTTAAACAATAATGTATTTTTTCTGTCATATATATGACAATAGAGTTGACTATATATTTAAAAAACATGAATGATGTGCACTGCTGAAGCATTGAGTTAGACCCCCTTTTGCATTCAGAACTGCCTTAATTCTTCATAGCATAGACTCAGCAAGGTGCTTGAAACATTCCTCAGAGATCTTGCTCCACGTTAGCATGATAGCATCATACAGTAGCTGCAGATTTGTCAAGCGCACATGATGTGAACCTCCTGTTCACCACATCCCAAAGCTGCTCCATTAGATTGAGATCTGGTGACTGTGGAGGCCATTTGAGTAAAGTAACTCATTGACATGTTCAAGAAACCAGTTTGAAGGAATTGACGTTATCTTTCTGAAAGCAGCCATCAGAAGATTCGTACAATGTACTCATAAAGGGTTGGACATGGTCAGCAACAAGACTCAGGTAGACTGTGGTGTTTAAACAAATCTCCATGGGTATTAACTATGAAGAAATAATACCTCCCACACCCTTACACCACCAGCAGTAGACTTAACTGTTTATGCGAGGTAGGATGAACCCATCCTTTCATGCCATTTACATCAAATTCTGACACTCCCACTTGAATGTTGCCACAGAAATCAAGACTCATCAAACAAGGCAACGTTTTCCCTTCTTTTGTTGTGCATGTTTGGGGAGCTAACACAACTTGTTCTTAGCTCACAGTAATGTCACCCAAGGTGGATCTTCTTAAAGGTTCAATGTGTCATGCAGTCAGAGGTGCTCTTCTTCATATGTTGGTTGTAATCTGTGGTTATTTGGGGTACTGCTGTTTACCTATAAGCTCAAAGAAGTCTGCCCATTCTCGCCTAACCTCTGACATCAACAAGGAATTTTTCCACAGAGAACTGCCACTCACTGGATATTTTCTCTTTTTCAGACCATTCTCTATAAACTTTAAAGGTGGCTGTCTGGGAAAATCTCAAATCAGCAGTTTCTGGAATATTCGTACCATCCCGTCTGGCACCAACAGCAACACTGCATTTAAAGTCACTGAAATGACCTTTCTTCCCCGATTCTGATGCTCGCTTTAAACTTAAGCAGGTCGTCTTGATGAGGTCTACACATCTAAATGCTTTGAGTTGCTGCCATGTGATTGGCTAGTTAGATATTTTTGTTAATGAACAGCTGAATAGGTGTACCTAACAAAGTGTCCAGTGGTTGTACTTATTCTTAATGGAAGGGACTGAAATAGTGCATTCTTATTTGGGCACCTTTTACTGCTGCGACACTCATAATATTTGTACATTAACTGTGTGTAGCCGCAACTAAAGTAGCCATATGATTACAAAGGCGTGTGGACATAAATGTGCCCAAGTAAAAAGCTACATCAAGCTCTTCCTTTTGTGATATGTCATCAATACACAGGCAGCAAATCTCAATGTTTTTATGTTTTTAGTAAAACATACAGGTGCTGTAACTTGTTCCTTCACCAAGTCAATTTATTCTACCGAGAAAGCTAATTAAATGATATGCCAATGCTTTTAATGTAGTTTTTCAGATAACACAGTGATAAGGCAGTCCTTCCTGCATTTTGTTTTTGTCAGTTGTACACATATCTATGGTGTATAATAGATGACTGAAAAAAATGCAAGAGAATAGGGTTTCAGTTCTCTTAAGGGTCTAAACACCACACGCCAAACCTCACCTGGATGTATGTGTAGTGCATTATAGAGGTAAGATTTAAAACATTTTGCAAAGTAAAAACATCAATAATGAAATCTGCCTCAAGGGACAGGATGGACTGATGGTGTCAAATTTTAAGAAGCAGAAGCAGAAGCAGCCTCCAAAATTCAGATATACTAAAATGTAAGTACCAGAGGGGATATTTTCACACATGCAGTACAAATCCTGATTTTATATCTCTTGGCCTTACAATATGTAATACTTCAGTTTTGTGTCTTAGCTCATTTGTCCAGTCCACTATCCAGTGACCATAAAACTGACTAAATTCAAATGAATCTTTTATCTTCCTATGAATGTTTTAAGGAGCTCATTCTATAATGCACTGTCACAGAATATACTGCAGTAACAGTTGTTAACCTCTACTAATTGCCTCTTGCTTTAGAACTAAATGACTTTGATATTGCATTGCTCTACATAGAAAAAATATTCAGTCTTAATGTCAGCAGTGTAAGCACATCACATCGGCCACCCGCTAGATGTGAGTTTGTACTTTACTATGTAGGAGTGATAGACAATTCTTTATATATGGTGTGGAAATGCTAACGATAAAAAACAGACACAATGAAAATGCAGTTGTGTTGTTTTCAGATCTGTGTGTATTATAAGCATTTAGACTCTCTGATTTCCTTTGTAAGCCACAGGTGGAGGAGGAGGAGGAGAGCCGAAGCTGTGCCAGTCCCGGTCTCTTAGAGACACTATCCATCCTGCAAATTCAACTATCAAACACGTCTCTGAAACACAGCCAGGATGTAGGGAGCTCTAGGCTGTGTCTTCTGTAGTAGGCACTTTTTCATGTTTCCGTCATAGTACTTCCCTCCAGGATCTGAGAGACAACGGAGCTCCTGGAGAAAAGATCTGACATGATCTCTTGCACACCCTCCAGATTGCTTTGTTTTCCAAGTAAAGGGAAATGCTGCTGACGAGTTCAAACACTCGAGGTATCCAATTTCAGGTCAGGCTTGTTCTTTGTCTAATACAGCCAGCTTTCTGTTTCACAATGTTCTGTTACAAACTGAAATCTTTTTTTTTTTTGCCTTTGTTCTCTCAGATACTCAGACCGTACACTTTTTTTGACCTCACGTTAAAAGGCATTATTTAGTGACCATTAAGATGCCACAGGTTTGTCTCGTTCTCACAAAGTATCTGAATGGCAACTTTCACTGGACTTTCCCTCGTGTATGAGAAAACTCTTCTGTCCCAGAATGGCACAATCACAGAAATCCTCCCCCTTAGAGGGCGGTATCATAAACCTCCTGTTGTAGGATAGGAGTCGGGCCTGGACCTGGAACCAGGCTGGGTGGAAATGCTGGGGGGTGTGGATGATCCCACACCGGATCTTTTAAGGAGGAGGGTGTGGTTGGTGCAGAGGGGCCTGAGACTAGAGGGCTCTGGCCTCGTAGCTGCTCCCTGACTTCCTGCTCCAGACTAGGAGGCACAATCAGCTGGTCCTCTGGGTCCTGCTGTGCTGGAGCTGTGAAATAGCCAGACTTTTTCTTGGGAGCCTCTAGGGCAACCTCAATTAGGTTGTGACTGTCTTCAGGGGCTACCACAGAACCATTGGACAACTTCTTCCCAAACAGGCTGGATGTGGAGGGAGATTTCTTAAGGTCAGCAATCTCTCTCCCACATACAGCAAGCAAGCAGCCGTTTGTAGCAGAAACCACCACGCTGTTCTGTCTGCGCATTTTACCACCGGGATGGTCAAAGCCTCGTTTTTCAAAGTCCAAGTCTTTGGAGCTCTCATGGGGCCCCGACCGCAGCTGAAAAGCACAACAGTGAATGTCTACTTCCACTTCTAATTTGCTGCCATTGGAGATGACACCCTCGAGTGGAGCTTCATCATCACTGTCCAAGCCATTGTCCGACTGGTTACTTGAGAATGTGGTGCTGGACGGCTGCTGCTGGAATAGACCTGGGTGGGGTCCGGTCCCACCTGAGCCTGGCACCATGATGCCGCACAGTGTGGTAGCGGGGTGTAGGCTACAGCGTCTCTCTGGGCGGGTCACAGTGCCAGAGGACGGGTGTTCATCTGAAGCGGTGGACCCCGCTTCGCTGCCGATCTCTGAAGCTGATGTCTCACTGCTGAACTCAGTGACAATGCCACTGCTGGAGGAGAGGTTGGTGGCTGGGTCGCTAGGGCCCGGGATCACAGGCGCAGGAACAGGAGCAGGAGCAGGGCCCCGTGGCTCGGTGGTGGTGACCGGCGGCTCACATGTGCAGCTGTCCTCACCAATGTGCAGGGACACCACGACAGCGCCGATGTTGTCCTTGCAACCGTAACTTTGGGCAAGTGAACACAACTTCTTAGCAGCAGCACGGGGATCCCGGACAGCCTGCACGGTGCAAACAGCCTCCTGGTAGGAAACTCGCTCAAACAGGGCTCGATTCCCCAGGATCAAGAACTCATCCTGGGAACAAAGCGGCTCAGTGTGCACCCAGGGCTTTGGAAGCACCCAGGGAGACAGATAAGAGCAGCCCAACAGGCGAGAGCAGCATGTCACTCCACTCACTTTGTTATCCTACAAAACAGAAGCGCCATTAGAACTGCAGCAGAGCGTATAGCCTCATAATGTTTACACAGTGGAATATGACAGAGCATATTAACACTAGATTAGAGGCTATGTGCAATTGCTCCCATTTAACAGCTGAAAACCAACATAGGCATTACCTCTGTAATAATGGCTTTACTGACTTTAACCCGCTCCATTTCCTCAGTGCAGTTCTCCAAACTGTAAACCTTAGAGAGAGGTACAGGTTGTCCATTTCGGCACAGCACGGCTTGGCAGGTACCCACATTGGCCACAGTAAGGCTAAAGGATGCTCCTGGATCTGAAGTCTCATGGTGGATGTAACACAGCAGGCCAGATGCACCCAGCTTCTGACCGGCCATACCAAGTTTCCTGCGCCCCCACCAATCGGCAAACGACAAAAACAAACTCTTACAGTCAGTGAATGCAAGTAAAAGCCAGGTATTGATAATGAAAAACAGTTACACAGAACAACATGTTACCTGTGTGAGGTGAGGAAAGTGTTGCACATATACACACTGTCAACACTAGAGTGCTGCAGCTCCTCGCACAGCACGTCTCCCATAGTGCACTGCAACAGGCGAGGCACTTCCTCGTTGCGGTCTCCGTCAAAGATACCATAGCATGCTTCCACGCTGTCTCTGAAGTGGTCTACAGCCAGCACAGACACACACAACCTGTCCCCAACAAAAGACGCACAATAATAGATTTAGCACATCCATCCACAAAACTTCGCCACGCTGTGTAAAATGTACAGCGCTCAGCATATTTATCACAACACCACTGATAAATCTATGGCAATGAATGAACAGTGTTTGTAATTACCAACATTATTTATTGTTTCTGTAAAAGTTAATCTGTCACTATGTGTTTCTTAAATATGACAGGCGGTCTAAGAAATGATCAAGTACTGAGAATAAAAACAAAGTGTAAAATATTTAAACTGTGCATTTAAATGAGAAGACATTATGTTCAATGTAGAGACTGAGAAATTAACCAGCGGCCTTCAGTTGCCACTGCATTAGAAAATTGCACTGCGTGGGCTTATGGCAGTGCAGTGAAAACAAGGAATCGATGAAAACTGCATCCACACAAAAACAATGTGAAACTCAACAGTGGAAAGAAACAGATGTGCATATTTTAAGATCAAGAAACTGTGCTGTTGCTTGGCTGGGCCCAAACTCTTAAGATGGGCTGAGGCAACAGTGTTATAGTTTCACTGTATGAAAGGTAAATAAATTATAAGCCAACACTATATGAATTATTGTTAAAAATAAATGATTCCAGCAACAGGTAATGAGAAAATTGATATTAAAAAAAAAGACAACCCTATAACACAGTTATAGAAGAAAAACACAAAACAGAGAAGATCTGTACACACTTGTTCCTTTGCCCGCTCATTTCAGAGTAGCCATGCTTCCAAGGACTGGAGGCGCTCAGAGAGTCTCCTGCTGTTGTGGTAGATTTCTGGTCTAATTTCAGGGTGGTGATGTGGCTAAAAATAAAAGAGAAAAAAAGAAATACACTAGAGTGCACTGTACACCTTTATTGTGTGCCCCTATGTGACAAGAAGTTCAGTATTGGGTGCTGCGCCTCACCTGAAGAGATTGAGGGTTTTGTGTTCCAGCATCAGGCTGCTGTTGCCTGTCAGGTCCAGCTCTTGTAAAGTGGCAGGCAGGGAATCGGGCAGCTGGATCTCAGTGAGCTCATTGCAGCTTAGATCGACAAGCTAAAGAGATGCAAAACCAGGTGAGCCGAAACACGCTTAAAGTTGATCATGTGACACAAAGAAAACTGCAACGGGCCTGACCTTGATCTCAGGGAGGTTGAGGATCTCTGGAAAGACGCTGATGTGGTTCGAGTGTGCTATGAGGGTGTGCAGTCTCTTACAGCTGGACACAGTGGAGGGTATTGTTTTTAGATTGTTGCCGCTTAAATTTAGCTCCTCCAGCAGTTCCAGCTTACTTAGCTTACTAAAGACACAAACATGAAACAATAACAGCTGGGCTGAAACGGGAAAAACTTACATTGAATTTATAATGCACGTAATGCTTCAGTAATTATTCTTAATAATAACTTCTTTAACTGCACAGTAACCCTAAAGAAGCACCACACATTTTGTTGATCCTCATAAAGTATTTTGTGGGTGCTTAAAAGGGTTCAACTTGCACCTTGGTTTAAACTAATAGTTAAGACACACAGAAGGCAGGAGAACTCACCTGGCAGGGAATGAGAGTAACTGGTTGTAGGCAATGTGGAGGATCCGCAGGTTCTGGTGTCCGATCAGCAGAGCGCCACAATTCTCGCTCAGGTTGTTCTCCGTCAGGTAGAGCTCCTGGAGTGTGCTGAGGCTCTCCTCTGATTGGCTGCTCGGCGGAATGCTTTCCAAGGCATTGGCTGACACGTTTAAGTATTTCAGGCTGTAAGAGAAGACAAACAGAAAAACAATTAACACAACAGCTCAAGTAATCAGCAGTGCATCTGAGGAACGCACCCACCCATTCAAATCCCGTTTACCGCAGCTGATGTTCAAGCTAAAAGGCTTTGAAGACTGTTGATGGCTGATAAACGGTATCAGTAACATCGCATGATTCTCATATTGAATATACTTGACAGAGTATATTTCAGTGAAAGTGAAGCGAGCTCAGTCTGCTGGTGTTTGGGAGGCCGGGTGCAAATTGAATTTGATTACGACACATTTTCACCCTGTTTGCGATGAAACATGTTTAACTGCAAATTAAATAATATTCCAGGTGGCCTCAGCTTCTGCAGCGAAATGAAGACGACTGAGGCGTCTGAAATCTGCATTTAAAGAATTATAGAGATTTTAGGAGCTTCCATATTTTCTAACATAAAAAGCCTTCTTCTAATTTATTCTTGCGGGTGGAGCATTGATTTGCATTTCATTGACCCTGCGCATTAAAGTGGGCCAGTAATATGAGCTCCAGTGGTTGTTATGTAATTGGTGTCAAGTCATTTTCTGTGTTTATCATGTACTGTAAAGTAATAAAACTTGTCCCTCTGACCCAGTGAGGAGTGAATCTCATCACGCTGTTGTTATAAACCAGCCTCAGACATTACTGGCGTGCACTGACAGCTCTCCAGCTCATACACACCACGATAAAGTTTACAGCTTATTTGGAGGTCTGGCTTTTTTTATGTTTAACATAGTTAAATAAAAAATTAAATGGAGTTGTGTTCAGTTAGTTACTGAGAAACCTAATTAAACTATATACACTGTTTAAAATGCTTTTAATTACAAATGAGTAACATCCGTGAGGTTAAGGTTGTCTCCATAGGAGAAAATCGTCTTGGATCTGGAGACTACTGCATCAAAACCCTTTACCTTCTTAATGAGCACGTGCTCAGAGTACAACAAATGGGATGGATAAGCTAAAATGTGACTCTTTTTGACCTGGTTGCGTATTTCTGGATATTCTGGGTCACTAAGTAGTTGGAGAAAAAACCCATAAAAGGTACGATGGCTTACAAGGAGTTGTTCTATACATTTGGGCCACCTCTGTTACTTTGTTATCGATTTTCAGTGCTGCTTTCATTCTGAACTTTTACAAAAATAAAATACTGGAGGCTGCCAGTGCTACCTGTCAGCCTCCTAGTAGATTATTATGCTATAAATTAGAAAATCCTTGGTAATTTCAGAAAGTTTACCTGAACTTGTGTGACATTTTAAGCAGACACACCTATGGCATGAATTTCAAAATTCTAAGTCGCCTCGTTCTCGAGTTATGGCATGGACAAACTTGGGTGTCCGCACCGCCTGCCCGGGAGGGTGGTGACAATACCCCATCGGTCATTTATGGCTAAGGGATAAAAACATAACTTTATACGCTAAAGTTTGTTTACCAGCAATCAAATTTCTATCATTCTACCAAACCTGAAGAAACACCTGCAGCCTACAGAGTAATTTCTTTATTGCCCAGTTCATAACATTTAATAAAGCAATAAAGAAAGATTAGGCCATCTTCTCCTTTATTTCCCAAGGGACGGCCACAGCAGATCGTCAGTTTGATCTGTTACAGATTTTACACTGGATGCCCTTCAAAACACACCCCTCCCATTAATCCAGGCTTGGGACCAGTACCAGGAGTCCAGTAGTTTGTGATCCCCTGAGGCTCTGGTCCCATAACAGGGATCTTTTTTGTGTAAGTCAAATATGTTAGCCACTACACCATGGTATCAAAAATTAAGTAAGTAATAAGTAAGTAGCTAAGTAATAAAAAAAGATCATTAAATTTAATAAGTTACATTACAGTACATGTTTTGAATAAACGGTTACATTACATTGCATTTTTCAGATGGGTAGCTAGTATTCTGTAACCTATTTTATTTGGAATAAAAATAACCCTCCTAACATCGCTCTCAGGAAACACATAATGCACAAAGTAGTCACTCCCATTACATCTCGGCAATAGAGACAGTAAAGTGCATTAGACCATTTGAACTGCTAATGGGTGTTAAAAGATTTACCACACAGGAAACAGGAGAGAAAATGAATCTCCAGTTATGGTGTGGAATGCTCCACTGATCTTGACCACAATCTCTTCCTATAATCTCCACTTCATTCCCAAAACAATGAGCTGTAGTACAATGACTGTCCACTGCAACACAACAGGGAAGTCACTGCCAATAAAAGTTTCGAAGCAGGCGAGCCAGCTGATAAAGGACACAAATGATAACACGAAAAAGTCAAAAAGGCCACTGAAAAAAGAAGGAGAGAGTACAGCGATTCAGACTTACTTTAAGGCCTTCAGAAACAGACTCTCTGGAAGCTCAGCTAGCATGTTGTGCTGGAGGTCCAGGGCTTCCAGAGGGACATGGTCAAGGAGTTCAGGCACTCTTTGCAAGCGATTGTATCCCGTCAGCAGCTTCCTCAAACTCAAGCTGTTAAGCAGTCTGCTGGAGGCCAGAAGACACATCACAGAGCAAGATCAGGACAAGAAAAAGCACTTATGAAACTTTGCGGGTGGTGGGTAGCCCTCACCAATCTATCAGTGACCTACTGACCTACAGTTTACCTGCCCATACAAACTAGCACAATAGCTTTTCCCCCAGATACCAGCAACAAAGTTATGAGTGCGTACAAAAGACAGGGGAGCAGCATCCAGTTTTCAAAAGTCTTTTCTGATTCATTCACTGTTGTCTGATACAAATACTAGAGCCTGGCAGTGAATGAGGGTACTCTGAGCCAGGCACTATAAGATGGCCACGTTTTAATGTTGCAGCCAAAACACACAGACACAAGAAAACCTCACACCACATTTTCACTACTGTAAAAAATGGTCTTTATCTGCACCAGCTGGCATTCATGCGAGTAGTTAGAAAGAATGTTTAAAATCATATCTCATTATTAAGGATTTTAGGCAGCTGTTTATTAAACGACAGGCGGAATAAATTCAATTTGTGCAAAAATGTTTAAAAAAAGTTCATAACCTGGAAGGAAGCTCCGACAGGAGGTTACGTGTAATGTCCAGCATCTCAATTTTTCTGCAGTCACACACCCAGTCTGGAAGATACTCCAAGAGGTTCCTGTCTCAACACACACACACACAGAAACACACACACGAACTGAGCAGTTGGTCAGGCCAAACCGATATTCTCCAGGGCTATTTAGCCCTGCAAATGATCTGTACTTTAACAAAAACAATTAGCGCGTGCAGTTGGGGATAGATGTTTGGTAGAAAGAAATTGTGCAGATGTTTCTCACACCGGCAAAAACACAAGACAGCTTATTTAACCACTGGCCTATTTCAAAGTTTGAAAGGTTCGTGACCTTAAAAGAGATTTCTCAGATTTGCGCATCTTTTACTCATTTATCTGTCCAGCTATTATTTAATCCCTACAGGCAAAGTGACTCTAACAGCTGAAAGGATGAGAATATGCTGCAAAGGGGCTTCAGCTGCCTTTGCCGACATGATAAAAAATAAACCAAAGCGATGATTACAATTCCTCCAAGTCCCATAAATTTTCCATAAATATTGTAACTCCAAATCCTTTAACAGTTATATAAGTACACAGAATATCTGTTTGGAGGTTGTTGGGTGATAATGATCTATTTCAGTATTCATGTTGATTTACAACCACATAAACACTGAGCAGAACTAGATTAATGAGCACAAAGACAAAGATACTATTTTTAGACATCAGCGTCTCTGTAGCCACTTCTTATTCCCAGCCAGAACTCACTGTGATAGGTCCATGTGCGTCAGCTGGTTAGGGACTGGATAGATGTTGACTGTTGTAAGGCCTGTAGGCAGATAAAGGCAGCAATCATCAACCAAACATCTGGACCATTCCTACGTGCACTTACATGATGCATGTAACAGTGGAGGGAAGGGCAGGAACATACAGACAAATAGCCAGTGATGCATTAATAGCAGCTACTTGACGCTCTATTTGACTCACGGTTGCTGCTGGCATGAAGCATGCGCAGTGTGAAACCGCTGAGTGTGAGTGTCCCCAGCTGGTTGCGTTGGCAGTGCAGAGTCTCCAGGTTGCACACAGAGCCGAGGTCTAGCGATTCTAAGCAGTTGTCCCGCAAGTCCAGCTGGGTCACCTGGCTCACTACCTCTAGATTCTCACTTTTCACCCACCGCAATCCATTCAGCCTATATTTAACAGAGAGAACAGAGCACAGAAAAAAGGATTTTGTATGCAAGCGGCATGATTTTTAGGGCTGTCCCAAATCAGTTTATCTTTTAAAATATCATATCACAACCTTTGATGCCGGTAATATGTTTAAAAACACCTTCCTCACATAGTGAAACGAAAAGGAAATACATTCTGATTTCAGGAGTGCACGGTACATCACTGTACTCAGATACATGCTCTTTAGTAGCTCATCCATCTTTCATGAGAGCTGCCAGCATAAATTCACCACAGCTGCACCTTGGTCCTTATAAATATAGCCTGCACACCACAACTTAACTCACAAGGTTGAGAAATTATCTTGCTGTGGTTGGAGGAATGGTTGCCAGCTTAATCTTCGCACCACAAGAAAAATTAGCATGTTTTTTTATCCCAGTTTACCAGCCATGGAGGTCCCCTTGAGCAAGACACCCCACTTGTACGGTGCAGAGTTCTTTCTCACTGTGCTGCCTTGTATAATCATCCCTCTGTTTTCATATAGTTGTGTTTTTCTCTTTGCCCTTTGTCAGTCTCTTGTGCCTTATATCTTTCCATATTCTTTTTATTTATTTTTTTATTCCTCTGGACTTTGTGTTTTCATGTTTTTGATTTTGGTCAATAAAGGCTCATTTTGTTTTCTGCCTCGTCAGGCTCTGCATCTTGCAGTCAGGTCCTCTCTTTGCCGTCCCTCCATATGACATATTGTTTATTTGTGAACTGCTTAGAGGCTGGCATATACAGAGTGGAACAATGTCAGGATAATCAATTCAGGACACTGTCAGAAGTTTCCCTTACTCAGTCAAAAGAGCTTGCAAAGACTACGATGACCTGGATGACTGAGAACCTTCACAGACATATTTTCCCTTACTCACATACTACAGTATATCACACAGCAGGAGATAGTTTACTTCAAATGCATCCTGCTGGAAATGAACTGCGCTTCCAGGATAGAGCACGCAGGAGGTAGGACACATGACACCCACTCACTCGCTTAAATTTATTGGACAATTTCCTGTGCTAGCCTCGCGCAGGCTCAGTCAGCCATGTGATAGGGAGCTGGCAGGTTAAAGGCCACTTAATGTCAGATCCAACTATGTTGATGATTTGCGTTCTCACATTCACAGTACAGGTACAGTGTCATGAAAAGTACCCCCCCCCCCCCCCTTCCTTATTGCTTAGTTTTTTAATATTTGCCACACCTACATGTTTCAGATCATCAAACAAATTGTAATATCAGATAAACATAACGCAAGTAAATACAAAGTGCAGTTTTTGAATTAAGATTTCAGATATTAAGGGGAAAAAACTATCCAAACCTACCTCACCCTCTGTGAAAACTAACAAGCACTGAATCATGAATTAAGTGTGATTAATATGATTTTTTCAAAAGATTTTTCTTCAATAGAGTGATTTCTTGATTTCAGACTTCCTGTCTGAGAAGTAGTAGCCTAAAACACCTTAAAAAGCAACATATCATACCATGATGTAAAAATACAGCTTAGATACAAGTCAGTGACATTTATCAGTCTGGAATGTGCTTTAAAGCCATTTTTAAGGGTTTGGGATTCCAGTGAACCACAGTAAGAGCGATTATCCACAAATAGAGAAAACTTGAAAGAGAGATAAACCTTTTCAGGAGTGGCCGGCCTACCAAAATTTGCATATCGACGACCCATCCAGGTGGTCACGAAAGAGCCATCTACAGAACTGCAGGTGGCACTTGCTTCGGTTAAGGTCAGAGTCCACGCTTAAACAATAAGAAAGGGACTGGGCAAAACTGCCACCTAAAAACTACACAAAGATTCGGTCTTTGGTCTCACATTTGTCAAAAAACATCTTGATGATCCCCAAGACGTTGGGAAAATATTCTGTGGACTAATGAGAGAAAAGTGGAACTTTTTGGAAGGTTTGAGTCCCGTTACATTTGGCATAAAACTTCTCACAGTGTAACCAGATGGGTTACTCTCCCTGCTCCAACACTCTCTGTCTCTCTCCCTGCCGATCCAGGTTGCTCCTTTGCCTTTTCTCTGAGCGTGATATCAGGCACCAGGGAATTTTTTTGCGATAACCCAGGCAGCTTTGATCATGTTCTGCAACAGTTACAGGTACTCTAATCTGTGTGTTTGTCCTCCTCTATCCTATCTACCCTACTAGATTAACCACCATGCCACAACAGCATTTTATAAAAAAGAACATCATACCAACAGTGAAACATGGTGGTGGTTGCAACTCTAACTCTGAATGACTCAAAAAAAGAAAGAAAATCAAGGATTGGTGGAGTGGTCTAGTCAAAGTCTGTTTGAGATCATTTAAATGTGATTGAGATGCTTTTACAGGACCGTAAAAAGGCCGGCTGTGATCAAAAAGCCTTCAGTGTGGCTGAATTAAAACAATTCTGCAAAGAAGAGCGGACCAAAATTCCTGTACAGCAATATGAAAGATTAATTGCCACCTACTGCAAATGCTTGGCTGCAGTTCTTGCTGCCAAGAGTGGCACAACCAGTTATTAGGTTTAGGGGGCAATTAATGTTTGACATAAGGTCGAGTAGGTTTGTTTGGCTTGTTTCCCCTAATAACGAAAATCTTAATTTAAAAACTACATTTTGCATTTACTCAGGTTAATTTGTGTATTAATGAAATATGACACGTATGCAAAACAACTAAGAAATCAGGGAGGGAGCAAATATTTTCTTCAGGGCACTGCACGTCTAAAAACGTTTAGTGCTGCAGTGCAGTGAAAAGTACAATTCTGGACAGCTCCCTGGTGTTAAATTGGACACTGCATTTATTCAGAGGAAATGTGTCATCTATGAACATTTGTTAAAGAAATAGGTAAGGCTTAGGTGAATGCAGCCCTGGCTGAAGTTCAGGACATTTAATGGAGAAAGAGACAAAAGAGGAACTTGTAGCTAATTGGCAGCACAGAATTATTCTCCACCTGCCACCTCTCTTTGTAGGCACTGAAAGAATGACAGTCATTAGTAGGATTCTTTTAAATATTATATCCTGATCCAGCATTATTCTATTCAATAACATATGGCTGAGCAGAAGACCAAGCAGAGAAGGATATGACAGAGTGGAATGAGTCAAAGGGAAGCGCAGATGCTGAGAGCTGTTTGTTCCTCACTGGCCTCTTACCGGAGGTCAATGTTTTTCAGGTGGCTCATTCTGACCAGAGTGCACAAATCCAGACTCTCCACTCTGTTCCCAGCCATAGCCAGCTTGTCAACTACACTCAATCTCTCCAGCACAGCAGGGACGTGAGAGAAGCTGTTAAAGGAAAGCCCCAGGCTGTTGAGCTGAAACAGGCCACCCATCTCATCAGGCAGGGAGCTGAGGTGGTTTCCATCCAAAGACAGCGTCTGCAGGCTAAGAGAAAGAAAGGGACAAAACAGTCCTTTCCTTTCTTTTACTTTAGAGAGCGGACAAAATATCTGCTCACAACAATTTGTATTTGTAGCCATTATCTATTGCACAGCGACCTAGGAAATGCTGCATGATTTAGCTTTATTTTATCAGAGTGCATAACAAAATGTTCTGTCCTTTTCAACTCCCTTATTCCCTCATTATGTGTATAGTGGATTAAAAGTACAAACCACAATGGCGACTGGCAAAAAATAATTATTGCATCCTTTTCGAAAAATGTAATTTAATGCGCCTTTTATTTATTTTGCAACTCTGGCATCTAACTGACATTTCTAACATCTTTTGTCTGTGCTGCTATCAACTGATATCTCAACAAAGTGTACCTATGCAATGTACGCACTGTGTGCAATTGACGTGTGCCAAACCTTTGAAGGTTGCCTATCTGTAGAGGGATGGCGTGGAGACTGTTACAGGAGAGGTTGAGTTCAGTTAGGGTGAGGATCTCGCACACACACTCGGGGAACACACCCAGACGGTTATGAGATAAGTTCAGGCTCTTCAGCTGAGAAAACCTGACAAAAGAAAAAACTGAATGTGAAGTCTACGGGCTCACTTTGTTTACGATTTACATTATCTGCATTTGCAAAAAAAAAAAAAAGTATATCAGGAATGAACACCATCAAGGCCATCAAACTGTGTTTGAATTCACCACTGTCATGTATCACAGACATACTGCTCTCAAAAAAGTTTAAACTGGTCGATATAAAAAAGAACACAGATGGGCTTTATGTCTGGAACAAAACAGCGATCAAATCATGCAAGTTAAAGTACGAGAGGTAAATGTTTATTTGTGGTTCTGCTTTTGTCATCGTTGTTGCCTTCAGTGGATGACTGGTTCAGCACACTGTGGTGAAAGAGCAGTAAAAATAGTTTAAATCCATGTTGTCCACCCTCCAGCAGAGGCTGAACAGCACTTCTCAATAGTCTGGTGAACATTGTTGGACGTGTGCTGCACGGTAGGAGTTCTGTAATATTTTGTAATGCTGCTTCAGGCTTCACCATGTTATGCCTGTTTCAGGCAACAAAGAACAGTATTCATAACTGATAGGAGTGATTTAAATACACACACACACACATATGTATTTAAATCGCTCCTATCACTTCCCTGATATTAACAGTTGATATCTCAGTTTAGAGTGGCCAGGCCTGCTTTGCATACAACACATAAATGTGATTTTCATTTCTCTCTTCATGTGCATTTGTTGATTAAAACATATAATCACACCCTGTGGTCACAACTAGAAATTCTATCTTGATTACTAATTTTCACCTCCCATTTTGCACCCCAGATGCTGGGAGTGTTGTCATGAGTCACAACACTATTCACATGTAATATTCTTCTCCTTCTTCTTTCGGCTGCCGCCTTTAAGGCTTGCTACAGCAGATCGTCTAGCGCTATCTCACCTTATCCCTAGCGTCCTCTCCTATCACACCAACCCTCTGAATGTCCTTCTTCACTACATTCATGAACTTCCTCTGTGCTCTTCTGCTTTTCCTCCTGCCTGGCAGCTCCATCTTCAGTTTCCTTTGTCCAGTGTATCCACTATCCATCCTCTGCACATGTCCAAACAATCTCAGGATTGACTCTTTAACTCTATCTTCAAACTTTTCAACCTAAGCTTTCCCTCTGATTAATTCGTTTCCAATCTCTGCCATCTTCAACTCCACCTCCATCTGTGCAACAGCTTCTAAACTGTATATCACAGCAGGTGTCACTACGGCGTTGTACATCATCCTTTTCACTCTTGCTACTATCCTTCTGTCACTAATCACATCTGACGCTCGTCTCCACCCACTCCACCCTGCCTGCAGTTACTTCTTTTCCTCTCTTCTGTACTGTCCATAGCTTTGGATCTTTGACCCCATCTCTCTCACACATGTATTCTGTCTTGTGTCTATTGACTTTCATTCCTCTTCTCTTCAGAGCTTAACTCCACCTCTCCGGGCTCTCTTCCACCTGCTCTCTGCAGTTACGTCTGCGAACATCATAGTCCTCAGAGACTCCTGCCTGACCTCATCTGTCAGCCTGTCCACCACAATTGCTCACCAACTTTATTCTAAAGACAACATCAAGAAGAGCAGTGAAAGAGAAACCAGTCTTCTTAGTAAGCTGCAGAAAAGAATCTTTTTATAACAGCATGCATTCAGTACACTAACACCCATTCAACCAGGCATTCAACAGAAACTAAAGCGGGTTGAGTCACAATTTATAGCAATGTGCTAATGACCTCAGCTTGTTTAAACAGGCTCAGCTCCAAGGAGCAAGGACATACACCTAAATTCATGCCCTATGTAATGAAAGCCACACATACGGAGCCACAGATATGACATAAATGAGTGGGGATCATTAAATGTGTGATAACAAAGAGATGTGCAACATATGTTCACAGTAACACTGAAACAGCAGACTAACTGGAAAATAACTAGAGTGAAAAACATAGTAATCAATGAATTATTATTAAAATTTTAAAGAGACTATCTAATAAAGCACATAATTAGTGAACAAACAACAAAATATTTTGTGATATTATTAAATAACTAATTTCCATCCTAAAAAGTAACGAAGGGACGGCGACTGTCAAGTTTAAAAGGTTTTACTGATAAAAGCTTTCCAAAGCCCCGGCCATCAAAATAACAAGCACTGGGGATTCATTGCAGTGGCCAAGGCATAGTTCAGCGAGACAGATACTTAGCACCATACGGATATGATAGCGTGCTCTCCAGCCACAGGACGATGTAATACCATCTCTTTCTTGCAAAGATGTTTCATTTGATTTCATGTGGTTACCTGGGGAGGTTGAGCAGGCCTCCAGGTCCCTGCAGGCTCATGAAGTTGTGTCGCAAGTTGAGATGGGTAATGTCCTGACTGTAAAACAGATATTCAGGCACTGCTTCCAGACTGTAGCAGGACAAGTCCACTAGGCTTACCGTCTGAGACACCACCTAAACACGCGTGCAGACACAAGCAGACTGAGTTAACACCGAGTTACAATTCATGTACCTAAAGCATCACTCTTACATGCAAACTTGGCTATGTCGAATATTTTTACATTAAAATAAGCATGACATGGTGCAACCACAGCTACAACTGTCAGGCAACATTTCTAAAAATGAGAGCTACGAGCTCACATCTGATGATTCATTTTAGAACAACATATTAGCTACGTGTTTGTCGTCTATTTAAAAGTCAAGGGTCAAGTAGTGAGTTGTGCTCAGCTTTATGATATATGACAAAAACTGAGTTCCACTGACTTCCGTATCGGCACTACCGAGCTGCCTCATCAAGAATTAACTCAGATAGTTTCCCACATTCCAGTACAAGAAGTTTCTAGGAAAGCAACAGTTAAAACAGTAACAGAATAACCAGTTAAAGTCTGATCTTATTAACCAAAAGCATGATGATTTGCAGTATGTTAGGTACAGCTTATGCATTGGATGTCAAAATGTCTTTATATCACGGGGCAAACACAGCCCACAGACCAGTGAAACTCCCCATTCTGTCACTGTACAGATGTTTAACTGCAAATTTAATCCTAGGGTTATCTTAGTATTAAAAAAGTCACGTAATTACAACAGCATGTCGTTTTTCTACACAATAGGAAGACACTGCGCTAGTAAATGAAGAAAGTAATCTGTCAGCATGACTGTTTGGGCTTTAACTATAAGAAATAATTGTGAATAATTACAGAAAAGTTCTGGGAGCTCGATGCCGAGACTGTCCTGTAGGTTCTATAAAACTTAGCAAAAAATGTCAGTTTCTGTTTTTTTCTTTCTAACTTTGGACACACTGTAATAAAAACAAACAAATTTAAAAAAGAGAAAAAAACAACAACTTTTCTGTCATTTAAATCTTTTCCATTACTTATCTCTTACTTAGTTGGTGTAATATAAATGTCCATGGGGGAGGTCTGGGAGACATTTTCCAAAGCAATTCAGATACTGGTGCCAAGGCCTTACAATTGACACCTCTGGCTTATGCTGTCTATATAACAGCCCTGTCTTTAAGCTTACCATCATCATGGTTGTCTTTCTTTTCTTTTCTTTTTTTCAGGAAACTGATCGTCATGCGTGTGTGTGTGAGGTTTGAGTTTGTTCTTGATTCTTTACCCGTTCCTTTAAATTTATGAATTGTTTATATTCAAGTTTTGTAATAGTTAGCCCTGAAATTTGCATTCTCTAGTGCATCCGAGTTTGTTATTTCTATTTCTTCATTATGTGAGTGCCCCTTTCATGCCCTGTCTGTCCCAGTCATGTCTCTGTGTTTTGTTATCCTTTCTGTCTCCCCGGTCACATTCCCGTGTCTGTCTGATCTCACTGCGTTTTGTCTGCATTCCCTGTCTTGTCTAATTAATACTTGTCCTGTCCCCGTGTTTATCCCTTACTGTTAATGTCTGATTATGTGTCCTAGTCTGAGTCTTAGTGTGTGTTTCTTCCTGTTTTATTTTGATAGTCACCAGTCCTGCGTGAGAGACGGTTCAGGTTTGCCTTCCCTGTCTCGTTAGTTATGATTCAGTTCAGCTATGTTCCCATGTGCGTCCACTTCTCTGAATCACCCTCCTCTGTACACATTGTTTGCTTCTCCCTCATTGTAGGTGAAATCTTCTGCCTGTCAGTTCTCATTATGTCCTGTTATTGTTTAGTTTTGTATTTGCCTTTTTTGCAACGAAGCTCTGATTTTGAGTTTAGTTCCATTTGCTGACTCCTACATTCTACCTGCTCACATGACAGTGATTTTATAGAGTTGCTGACGCCTTGTGATCCTGTCCAGTTTGCAGTGCTGTTGTGAAACTTTCTCCACATAAATTTTAAGCACCAGGGAGGGTGTGATTGCATCTAGAGTTGGGATTTTACTGCCGTTTGTCACTGGATTTTTTTTTCCCCTCACAGACCTGGGAGACTATAGTTTACATGCTGGCCATCAGTTCAGGCTATGTAGCAGTGCTAAGTCAGTCTACTCTGACAATCATCTCCCCCATTAGCTCCAGAGCTGCACACTGTGCAGCTACGCAGAAAATGGGATGGCTGCTCAGTCAAGCATGGCATCACGTCACTGGCTGATAAAGACCAAACTGCTCTTCTCCCACAAAACAACTCACAGGACAGATGCCCTCTGTTCCTTCAAAAAAAAAAAAAAAATCAGTGATGCGACACTCTGAGATCGAATTGGAAGGTCGGGACAGATTTTGCTGTTTTGAATTATTTGCTTTGTAATTCAACACTGAAACGATGAAACACAGCAAAGATATGTCAGTTTAGGTATGATGGGTAGTTCAGTCCTTAATCAACGTGACACAAAGTTTCCTGCAAAGCTGAGAAACTGGAGCACTTGGGCCACTAGCACAGCCGATCACAGCTTGAGTTACAACATCACAGTTTAATATTTCATTGAGATTCTGTAAAATGTGTTAATGGCATCTATAAAAGTAAAAGCCATTTCTTGAGAAATATCTAGTCCAGTCAGGCTGGACTTGATTAAAATCTCCACAGACTTGGACATTACTTTTGAGTGACTAAAACTGCATTTTAGCTGCTATGTTATCAGTTTTGATATTTTATTTGATATATATACATACATACATAAAGCCTGGAGGGCTATTGCTTAAGACGATTTGTAAAAAATTAGAAGAAAGTCTGTCTCTTTGGAACCAAAATATAAAGAAATGTTCTTCAAATAGCTAAACGCTCAACAATCGAAGTGCCTAAGATGATGTGAGTTTCTTTTGCAGCAATTAACATCTGACAAACACTGAATTTTCATTGTTAATGTGATTGTTGTAAAATGCAAATGCTTTTTTTTTTTTTACAGTCTGACTTCCAAGATATCCAGAAGTGCTAATTAAGAAAGCAAAAATGCACTCCCTGACCGCTAGCCTCGTACACAGGCTTCTGATTTAAGCGATGTAGCATAAACGTCGGCCCAAATCCACCAAAAACCTTCATCGGCCATCAACTGCAGTCTCCATAGAAACCTCTAGTCTAATACTCAGCTAAAATACAGTTCGCTAACAGGCTCGTCTAACCCAGTAATCCATACCACCGTGAAAGAAAGAGATCTTGGACTTAGCATGAATCTGCAGCTAATTGGATTTTCTTTATTTCTGTTGGCTTTCTCCTTCCATGGCTAATTGTATGTTGGCTCAGCCTCTGTGGAGGCTCTCACAGAGGCTGTTCAGCTCCAAGAAGGAGCCGCAGCACAACAGACATTAATTAGGATATTAGAGACAAAGCAATCTGCGCAGTGCAGAGACAATGATTTTCTTTTTGAAGAGCTCTTAGAAGTCTCTGAAAGGCCCATAGATTTATTGTATATCACACTGTAGCCCTCATTTACTCAATACCATTAAATAAATGGGCTTTGGGTTCTTTTTCTAGTGTACTCTCGTACGATGTTTTAAATTAACTTCTCTTTTGTTTCTGGGATCAATGAAGCTTATTCCTTAACAGTAGCACTACACGCGAAAATTAACACTAGTGTCTATAGTGCAGTAAATCATGTCATACACCATGTAAAGTAGAGCATTGCAACCCTCCTTTAATTTACCAAACAATGAAAACAAGAAAATAATAAAATGGCAGATTTCAGTATTCAGGCAAACCAAAAACACACACAGCAATTTACCCACTGTACACAGAATCTCCACACATACAGTGTAAACCACCAGTGACAAAACAATTATAGTCCCAAACTAAACCTAAAGCCGGCAGAGATAAACCCTATGTTGCAGGCCTGTATTGCTCCAGTATAAATCCAAAACGATCTCCCAACCGGAAGTTCTTCACTCAACGAGCAAAAAATAAATAAATAAACTCAGTACCTTGTGAAACGTGCAATTCCCACCAGCTTAATCCAGGTAACAAGTTGTCTTCAGCTCCGTCAGAAACACTCCGCTCTGAATGCAGTAGCACAAAGATGAGGAAGGTCCGTGATCTCCACGTGCTCCACAAGCTACCTGTTTTAGCTTCCCACGTTGCCAGAGGTACTCTGAGTGACGCGGGCACTCAGAGTGACTATCTGGGGTGTGTCCGTCGTTATCCAGTTCGGTAACGACCCTCTGCAGCTTGTTACGTTCCACAACTATAGCGAAACGGCAGCCTACAGTGGTCCTTATTAGCGAACGGCTGGGTTAGCCTCACTTTAACTTAATGCGTGCACAGCCGCAAGAAACAAAGCACACAGTCCAGCAGACTCACGCTGAAACTTTACGTGTTATGTCACTAGCTTACCGACACTGTGACTTATCTGTCCGAAAAGTCAAAACACACTTACTCTTAGTACATAAAAAACAAGCTAACTTCTCCGGGTGCTCCGTGTAACTCACGCACCACCGCCCCCTCTTCTCGCCCTCTCGTCTCTTTTTCCCTTTTCCTTCTCCACCCTGTGTTACCTTCACCGACCTTATCCCCGTAGGAAATTACAGTTCTCACAAACAATTCACAAGAAAAGAAAGATAACTTATTTTAAACAATGCAAACATGTTTTTAATAATTTTACATGAACTTTTACCTTTTTAATAAACAAGAAAATTTAAATAAATGAACTCTTTGATATTTATATTCTCAGACTTCACTTATCTTTTACTATTTATGCATCTTTTAAACCCGGGTTACACCCTCCCCCCACTAAATGTCTGGTGTCCTCAACAGACTACCAAGGAACTACAAGAACTTGGGAAGTAGGATGACCTTTTTACATACTCTGGCTCTTAGTCTTTGCCTATAGTGATAACAACCCCTCTATGTATAATAGTGATAGGCTGATCTTTAGCTTTTCCTGGCTCATCATAGGTTAAACGAACTACTGGTTTAATCTGTCTCTTAGGCCTTAGTTTAGGAGTGTCACCCAACAAATTACGGTGTGTATTTGGTTTCTGAGTTTTGGCAGACCGGGCTGTTATGGGATCCAGATCAGGTTCTGGGGCAGAATCTTGATCATCTTCTTCATT